CAAAACATTTCTGAGTGCTCTACCCAGTGCCCCATGAATTAAGAATTTTTCCAGTTTGGCTTGTGGGAACAGGTACTGTTCCCAGCTCTGAGTGAGTGTTGACACTGTTCCTCTAATCTTTTCAGATGGTTCTTCTCCCAGGCTTGGATAGTTTCTTTACACACATGCTCTGATCAGTTCTCTGCTAAATACTGGAGGGCGACCCCTCTGCATATCTTCAGGGTTCACTCCCTGTGCAGCAGTCTCCTCTCAGGTACTCCAGTACTGTGTTCTGCAAACTCTGCTTGCCTTAAACAGAAGTGGAAGTCCATCTATTACTATGCGTTTTTTCTTCTTTTAATAGTATTTTATTGTGCTTTCGGTCAAAGTTTACACAGCAGATTAGGTTCCTATTCAGTTTCTATTCAGATTGTTAAGTCACATTGGCTATTAATTATGTTTTGAAACTGCAAGTAGAATAGACTTAACAGCTTTCTTCTTTGGGAAAAGAAAACATTAGCATTAAAAGATTTTGTGATCAAATTCTGAAACCAAGTGAAAGAGTTGGGAATTGTTACTACTGTAATAATCCACTTAAGAACATTAACTTGGCTTTTAAAGGAACCTGATCCCCTAGCCTTTTCTCCAGCATGTGGAGGTTGTGAGAACACCTGAGTCTCACTTTAGACATTCTGATTCAGTAGATTATAGACCTCATTTGTAAAGATATTGCTTTGCAGAGAGTCTAGTCCAGTTCCATTAGTAGCACAGATGCACACCAATAATACTACTATGGAACATGTAGAATTAAAATGTGACTTTCATGAATTTACTTAGAGAAACATAGAACACTTGAGCTCTCTACTTTTTTTTTTTTTTAAGAGAATTTCAATGGGAGAAGCAATAGAAAAGAGGAAATGAAGAGAAGAGTAGAAAAGCAAGGATAGTAAAAGAAAGTTAGGAGAAAAGATTAGGGAGAGAAGCAAGGTCAGGTAGAGAATGGAAGAGAATATAGAAGAGTAGATTCCGAAATAAATGCTAATAGAAGATAAATTGTTTTAGGTGATTGTGGGCTTCAGAGGAATTTATAACTTAAATTTTGTCTTTGAAATATTCATGAGCTGATTAATCAGGATTTAGGATCCTTAACCTCAACTCTGAATTGCATAGGTACTGTAGAACCGCAGTACAATTAAAAAATTAAATCAAAGATGCCATCAATTGTAATACATACCATTATTTTGTGTTCCCCTAAGAAAGAAAAAGTGCTGCCAATTAACTGTAACATAGTGCTTTCTTATCACCTATTTTAAGAAGCATCCAAATTTCAGAGATGTTAAAATGGAGGAAAAAAATATTTCTTAAAATTGATAAAATATCGTATTTAGAAGGCTCGTACCCTGCCTCTCTGACTTTTCCTGGTCTGTTCTTTCTATTTAGTATGCTCTGTTTTCCCAACATTATCTTTCATGGACAGCTCAAATCTCACCTCGTTCATGAAGCAGTCTAGATCCTTATAGTAAGATATGTTTCAAATTTCCTTTGAAGATGTTTCTTATGCCCCTTTCTGTTTTTAATATTTCTCCTTAATATTTCTGCAGAATCAAAATAGGAGTTAAGTAGTTCTGCTTTCCCTGCATCATCTGTTAACATTATACCATCTGCCCCAAGCAGTAGGCCTGAACCTTCTTTCTTGTTCTTTTTGCTCTACATGTATTTTTTAAAAATCTTTTTTTATTGTTCTTAACATTTTCACCAGCCTCTGCGCATTCTGGGCTCTTACTTTTCTTACATGATTCTCCTTGTTTCTTTTCTATTCATCCACTATCACATGTCTTTCTTTTCATTTTTTTTTTTTTTTTAAGAAGCCTCTTAAACAATGATGAAGCTGTGAAACATTGTATAACATG